CGAATTCGTGAATATTGAATAAACTGAAGCTTTAAATGTCTGAGGTTTTCCGAGTTGAGAGCTTTGCATTTTCCCTTTGCAAGTCTGCAACTTGTTTTTGCAAACGCAAATTTTCCAATGCAAGCGCAGAATCAAGTAATTCTTGTCTGCAAATTAATCATAATAATATCCACAAAAAAGGAAATCAATGTTAAACATACTCGGTTTGAGAGCTAAACTCAAAAACTGTATCGCCACAAGCTGATGCCATATGTTCTGTGAACACTTGATTTGCTTCTGGTTTCTGGGGTACGGCAGTTGGTATCAGACATCTCCGCTTTGCTCCATTTACGGTCGTTCTGTAAAAAAAGTCGGAATCACTAAAATGTTTCCCACAAAAGTTTCCATTCAAAGTTTTGGATCGGCATAGCAAACAATATGTTGCAGACATGTTTATTTCTAATAATAAACGAGAGGGACGTGTGAGACGCTTCTTACGCGTCACAACTTTTATACCCGGCACTCAGTACTACATCTGCACCTTAGCGGTGTTTTGTCAAATTTAAAATTTGTTCTTCATCTGTCACCTACATCTACAACACTTCTCACACCAACACGCTCCGTTAGCTCGCCGCCCCTTCCTAGACCCACATACTGCAGACTCGCGGCAGTGGCAGAGGCAGGGGCAGGGGGATGGTAGATGCAGAGGCCGAGTGAAGTAGAAGCAGAATGTGAATGAGAGAATGTGAAAAGAACAACAAAAGCTGCGGGACGGGTGGGTTTAGCCACTGCAAATTAATTTCTTCATTCTGGCTATAATAATGATCCAATCGGATCTGTCCGTCTGTCCGTCCGTCCGTCTGGTTTGTAGGCTAGTTCTCAGACGGACGGACAGACGGACAGATCCGATCGGATCATTATTATAGCCAAAATAAAGAAAGTAATTTGCTGTGGCTAAACCCACCCTGTCCAGCAGCTTTTGTTGTTCCTTTCACATTCTCTCATTCACACTCTGCTTCTGCTTCACTCGGCCCCTGCCTATTTAAAATTTGACAAAACACCGGTCAGGTGCAGATGCACTATTGTCCCAATGACCAGTTTTGGTGGCTGTTTACGCCAGTTAGCCTAATTATAATTGCCCGGAGCAATTAGTGTTTTGTATAAGTAAAATGAATTTGTAGCATTAAGTATTGAATTGTTGCATTTACGACATACTGACAGAAGCTTGTTGCTATAGAACATACATGTGATATGTGAATACGATAGAGAAATAGGAAGAACATGCATTTAATAGGTGAATATCGAAATTGAAAAGAAGAAGAGATTAAATTGATTTGAATTCCGACTCGGTCGAACCGCAGCACTTGGCTTTTTATTTCGAGATTTTAATTCTGAACTGGTTGCGAGGAGTTGCGGAAACAGTGGCCAAAAGCTAATTTTTAAAAGTTAAAACCAAGACACGGTTTTTAACGCTCTGTATTAGAAAAAGAGTGACCATCAAAGTTGCGTACAAGAAATTTTCATAGATGGCGCCACTTTCGAAAAATCTGCTGTGAAACCTAGCGGTCATTATTGCACAGAATGTGCAGGGAAAAAGTACCAATTTTATTGCTGTTTTAAATATCTCATAAATTGGAAAATACGATTAACTGATCCAATTTTTTTGATGTATTTTATTTAGTAGGCTTTTTACTACGTGTTCTGTAATGTGAACGATATCTAGTGTTTGGCGATGTCTTCTACATCTAGATGTAGTCCGGAGTGCTGGGTATAAAAATTGTGTGCGTAAGAAGCGTCTCACACGTCCCTTCTCGTTTTTTTTCCATTGTCTGGACGTTGATATGCAACGACTGGGCGATTAACCGAACCGGTCGCGAGCATGCAGGAAAGATAGATTTTAGGCTAATATTCGAGGAAAATTAGAGCTAAACACAACTAGACTAGAGCTACTATAGCTAAGCAAGCAAAATTACCAAAATCAGAAACAAGACAAAACTAAAATGAAACTAACTACGGGAGAGGTAGGCTAGCATAAGAGATTTTAGAAGAGGAAGGGAGTTAGTTGAGTATATAATGTGGTAGAGGGAATTATAATCCGAGCTTAAAACCCTAAAGGGTTCGTGTGAGGCATAATTCGATCTACATAGTGGAAGGAACAAAGGAATAAAGTTTCTAGTGGGTCTAATGGGAATCGTAAAGTTTATGCGGCTCAGCAAGTCAGGGCTGTCTACATCCCCCTTGATCAACTTGTGCATAAAAATTACACAAAGAATTTTTTTACGATTAACTTAGGATGGAAGGTTTATTAAAAGGAGTCTACTAGGGTAGGATGGCAGTCTCACAGTTGCATCCCAGTTGAGACCCCGTAGGGCAAATAATAAAAAGTTTTTCTGTACTGATTCAATACGGTCCTGATGTATGTTGTACTGAGAGCACCATACACATGAGCCGTATTCTAAACTCGTACGAACAAGCGAGATATAGAGATTCTTCGTTATATAGGGGTCATCAAATTCCTTTGACCACCTCTTTATAAACCCAAGCACACCCATGGCTTTATTTACCATGGTAGAAATGTTTTCAGAAAACTTTAACTTGGTTTCTAGTTTAACACCTAGATCATCAACCAATGTAATTCTCTCAAGAGAACTACCGCAGAGGGTGTAAGGAGCCGGGAAGGGGCTGGAGCGATAAAAAGTCATTACATTGCACTTCGAGGCATTAAGTTGTAACAATTACAACAGCACCATGACTGAAAGCTATTGAGATCAGATTGCAAGCGAGAGTGAAATGAAATGTCCTTATACTGGACACAGAGTTTAACATCATCCGCATACATAAGTGCTGGAGAATTTGTTAATACAGAAGGCAGGTCAGAGTGTGAAAAGTAAGGGGCCTAAATGGCTACCCTGTGGTACTCCAGAAGTAACCATAACAGTTAAAGATAAGGAGTTTTTGAAAAGGACCCTTTGAGACCTAGAACACAGGTAGCTAGAAATTAATCTCAACAGATTGGGCGGAAACCCTAGAAGGTCGAGCTTTTGTGCAAGAAGAGAACGGTTTACAGAATCGAATGCCTTACTGAAGTCAGTGTAAATAACATCCGTCTGCAAGTTACCTTGGAATCCTTTAGTTACAAAGGAGGTGAACTCTAAAAGATTAGTGGTTGTTGATCGTCGCCGTAGAAATAGATGCTGAGCTGGAGATATAAGTGATTTGCAGAGATGCTGCAAATGCGGAGTTAACATTTTCTCGAACATATTAGGAATAGCGGATAACTTAGATATACCTCTATAGTTTTTAGCGTCAGACTTGCTACCTTTCTTATGGAGAGGAATTATAAAGGATTCCTTCCAGATGGGGGAAAGCTAGAAGAATGGATGGATAGAGTGAATAGTTTAAGCAAAAGTCCGCACAAAGACTCGGCACAGTACCTGAGTACACAGCCGGGAACTCCGTCAGAGCCCAGCGAAAATACCGGCTTAACTAATTGAAGTTCATGAAGTAAGGAACCTTCATTAAAAAAAGGGAAGAAAATGCCATTCGACCTTGGTAAACTATATGGATACTATGACGTGGGTAGATTTCCTGGGAATAGGTGGTTTGAAAAAATTGTGCAAAAAGATTGGCGATTGCCTGATCATTGTTTGCAGACATATTCAAAAATGATAGCGAGGATGGATGTGCGGACGTTCTACACTTACTGTTTACAAAGCTGTAAAACTGTTTAGGGTCCTGTGAAAAACGTATCCTGCATCGAAGGAGGTAGTTCCTATAGCATTGAGAATTAAGAACAGTGAAATTTGAGCGAACTATTAAGTAATTAGAAAGAGAAGAGGGAGAACCAACTTCTTGAGATTTTTTTAATAGTCTTGATTTTAGGTTCTTTAGACTGGATAACTCTTTGGTGAACCAAGGAGGTTTTGCAGATCTAGTCGGACATGAAAGTGGGTCACACGTGTCAAAAATTGTGTCAAGTACATTATAAAAAATGTTTGTGCCTTCAATGACGTCAGTGCACGAGTACAGAGCGGACCAATCAAAATTTCGAATTAAGTTATTGAGCTTCGTAACCTCGGCTTTACGAAAGCAGCGGACGCGTTCAGATAGCCTACTCACACGATCCGATACAGTAGGTCCAATATCTATCGACACTTCGAAAGTAGGATGATAGCAGTCTTCAGGTATAGTGAGCGGGAGTGCTCGTGTTAAGAACTCTACGGTCGGATCCGAGACAAAGCACAGATCAAGCAATCGACCCAAGGAGTTTTTTACATAGTTGACTTGAGACAGGGCCCGGTCTAATAAGCCATCAATAAACTCGTTTGACTCGTTAACCGAAGACCAGACAGTACCTGGCAGGTTGAAATCCCAAAGAACTATTAAATGGTCTTTATCAGATAGCGAAGAAGAAACAGTTTGTAAGGCAGACAAATGCTGCTCGTATATTAGTACATCCGAAGTCGGTGGAATATACGAGCAAGTGACATAAATAGACTGGCCGGGAAGAATCAGTCTAACACAGAGGAATTCCAGGTCTTGTGAGACCTGGACTAGGAAAAGTTCTGACTTAAAGTAAGAGTTTACTGCAATCAGGACCCCTCCTCCACGTCGAGATGAACGATCATTCCTATAAATTGTGTACCGATCTGCCAAAACTTCGCAACTAAGAATGTCCGGCTTTAACCAGGTTTCGGTAAACACAATAACATGGGATGAAAATGTGAAACTATCCATAAAAAGAGCCTTGGAAGAGCATTTTGGAAGAGCCAATAGTCTCGAAATGAGTTCGTAAACAATGAAGAAAAAGAAGACAATCAAAAAATCGTGCGCTACACAACCTCTTTCGTCGACGTTTGGCAAACTACTGACAAGCTGGTGTTCCTCAATGGCCTGGCCCATGGTAGAATTACTAATAGGTAACGTCGTCAACTGAGTGGAGGAGCACCAGCTTATTCATCACGCTTGCTCGGCTCTCAGAGACATGAAGAAACTATAAGGAGGCCTCGTCGGTGGCAGAGTTACTCGCTGCTTTTTCTTTTGGTCAGTGCTCTGGAAACGGAAAGTTTATGCAGTTAAGTCTAAATATGCAGCTTTATTTATTTATATGCAGACCTTTTTAGCTTTTTTTTCGTTCCTTTTACATANAGCAGAGTGAAGACGCGCTGAAACTCGGTGAAGTTACCCATAGTAGCCAGTGTATCCAGGGCATCGATTAGCGTAAGCGAATAGCTGCCCCAGGTGTCGTGGCCGTCGCAGGTAAGTGGGCGTAGCTCGTCATAGTTGGAGGCGTGCGTCAGATAGCCGTCGTAAGCGTGCTGGAACATCCGCCGAACATCCTCTCTGGGGGAGTTGAGTGACATGAGATTTTATAGTCTAGTGCTTAACGGTATTTGCCCATACTAATTACTATTACTCACCGCAGCTCCAACATGCGCATCCGGCTTTAACCAGGTTTCGGTAAACACAATAACATGGGATGAAAATGTGAAACTATCCATAAAAAGAGCCTTGGAAGAGCATTTTGGAAGAGCCAAAAGTCTCGAAATGAGTTCGTAAACAATGAAGAAAAAGAAGACAATCAAAAAATCGTGCGCTACACAACCTCTTTCGTCGACGTTTGGCAAACTACTGACAAGCTGGTGTTCCTCAATGGCCTGGCCCATGGTAGAATTACTAATAGGTAACGTCGTCAACTGAGTGGAGGAGCACCAGCTTATTCATCACGCTTGCTCGGCTCTCAGAGACATGAAGAAACTATAAGGAGGCCTCGTCGGTGGCAGAGTTACTCGCTGCTTTTTCTTTTGGTCAGTGCTCTGGAAACGGAAAGTTTATGCAGTTAAGTCTAAATATGCAGCTTTATTTATTTATATGCAGACCTTTTTAGCTTTTTTTTCGTTCCTTTTACATAAATACATATGTACATGTAAAGTTTTAGTACGTACCAATGAAATCCGCTGTTCAATGAAATACTAGTGTATTTGTATACCTTTTATTCGAAGAGTAAATAGGGTATATTGTATTTGTTAAAAAATGAGCCACGCCCCCTTCCGCCCCCACAAAAGAGCGAAAACCTCCCAAATTTACAATTTTGAAGATACAAGAAAAGATAAAAACGCCATTCCGTAGGGAATGACCATATCTATCAGATCGCCAAATTGGCCACAATGAATAAATGAATCGTGTACCCATGTGTAATATAAATAATGCGTAATCAGTCATTTATTAACTGTCAAAAACTTTTAGAGCGGTATAAAATTGTTTTCATAACTTTTTGATTATATTGAAGACCTTGGTCTTGCCTTCAACCATCTTCGACCATCTACTAAAAGACAATTTTTTCGCATAAAAAATAATTTTTAAGTTAAAGTTAAAGAAGCACCCTTTAACTTTAAACTATTAAATATAACAGTAAAAGCACATTCAAATTAGTTTTCAATTCCATTATACCTCCTGATTTTAGTTTTTAGTCTAATTCTATAGTCTCCCATATTGGACCGTTCAATAAATACTTTTACGCTCCAAAAACAAAAGTACCGCAACATTTCTTTCAGCAATTCAGTATATAAATTAAGCTTACTGATGGTAACTTTTTTGAATTGATTTAATTTGATTTTTAATTTGTTTGAATACTTGCACCCAGCACTACTATTTTATTGAACAGCAGATTTTATGGGTATTTTTCTGAAGTCATGTAAAACAAGAAGACGGAATGCAAATGTTACAGGACTTTTTCTGGGTTCTAATGTGTACATTTCAGGCTTTTCAAAAAGGTATCACTTGGTCAATTGGAAAGACTGGAAGGGTCCGAAAATAGTGGTGAAAATTGTGTGGCTCGGCACTATTATTTTATTGAACACAACTGTACATATGTACATACATACATACATATTAACATAACCTCAACGATGGAGTGTGGTATGTGCGCAGAAATATCCAAAAGAAAACGAGAATAGACGTGTGAGACGATTTTTACGCGTCACAACTTTTATACCCAGTACTCATTACATCTTCCCTTAGCGGTTATTTTTCAAACTTAAAATTTATTCTTTATCTGTCATCTACATCTACAACACTTCTCAGGCCAACAAGCTCCTTTAGCTCGCCCCCCTTTCCTAGAGCCACACGCTGCAGAGTCACGGCAGAGGCAGAGGAACGCGAGAAGCAGAGGCTGCTCACTGCAGAAGCAGAGTGTGAATGAGAAAATGTGGTGGATTTAGCCACTGCAAATTAATTTCTTCATTCTATAATAATAATCCAATCGGATCCCAATTTGGTGATCTGATAGATATGGTCATTCCCTACAGAATGGTGATTTTAGTTTTCTGTTATCTTCAAAATTGTAGGTTTAGGAGTTTTTCGCCCTTTTGCGTGGGCGGTGCTCATTTTTTAAATACACTTGTAACAGTGTGAGCATACAGAAGTCTGGATGCAAAATTTGGTGGCTCTAGCTTTTATAGTCTCTGAGATCCAGGCGCTCAACAAGACGGACAGACAGCCGTAGACTCGGCTATTGATGCTGATCAAAGAATTCCTTCTGTGCGTTACATACAACCGTTATTCGCACAAATAGCAACAAATTTAAGTAAGAGTTGCTGATGCCGTACCTTAAAGGTATGATTTGAATATATAAAAAATTATAATGAAATAATATTCAAACTGATCTGATTTCTGTTTGATATTGTATTTATGTAGTTACAAAAAAATAGTTATATGCGGTTTTTTTATTATTCAGATAACATACAAGGGATTGAAGCACCATTGGTTAAAAAATGGATATGCACAAGGACAATTTATACATGATTACAGTTTTCTTTCTTTTTTTTGTCCCATTGCCTATTTTTGTCTAATTTAATAAACGCAATGAAATTGAAAATATATATTTTTGTTTAAATATGTATGTTCTTTTCGCGTTCTTTGAGAACGCTCTTTTATGCATGCCACGGATGTGCTGTGGAATGATTACATTGAACAGTTCCGGAACGGTTCTTAATAGGTTCCTGTGGCAAAGATGTGTTCTGTAGTGCTGCTATCGGAAACTGCACTGGAAGGAACTCTGAGCGATTCACGAAGTTGAAATTACAACAACGACCACTTCTACATGCCTTCCAATGGACGCGAACAAAAAGGTTGGATTCCCACGTGTTTCATCCCCTGTCAATTTGAAGCGAAAACGTCACGCATTGTGTACTCATGCTTACTAAAGTACTCAAGCGACTTAGTCCAACTCATGAAGCAACTATAAAGGAGGGCTCGTCGGCTTTTTAGAGGGAAACATAAAAATGCTGTCAATAAGTCCGAGTGAAAGGGCGTGCAGAGAGAGAGAGAGAGAGAGCAACTTTACAATAATAAGAGTACAAACTGGTCGTGGTCCCACCACGGTTTATAGTTGCTTCATGGTCCAACTGGGATGGTCCGTTTTGACTGCTGTCTACGCACACAGAAGCACTGCAAAGCATGTGCGTGTGTGCGTGCCGAAAACTGATGTAGATAAATATTATATAACTCCATTATAACTATTGAACTAACTATTATAATTCAGCCCCCCCCCCCCCACCCCCTCCACCTTTTAATTCTAGTTTATAGTCAACATACCAACAGATGGTAATAATAGTAAAAACGAAACATATACGAAATGTGTAAATACCAATATCAATCTGAACAATAAGTAGTATACCCAAATATCTCCAGTTACTCAAAATTGAAATAACCAAGCAGAGTTCTCAAATAAATTTGTTGCAGCCTCAGCCAATTCCCTATGTACACATTCAAAATGATTTACAAATGATCCTAAGAACTTGGAGCTCAAGGCACTCGCATGTTTTAGTCGGAGTTAAGTTTGAGTTTGAATCTTACCAAAAAGAGCCCTTTGATCAAGGACATGACCTAATTAACCTTATAATGAATACTTAAAAAGAATTGATCAGATCTATGTATGAAGACAGCATATCCAACAGATATGCGTTGAGGAGATAACATAACTCTAATTCAGATGTGACTGTCGCCTAACTAACTATGTAAATACATATCTACAGATCAGTCGTGTTTAGATGGCAGACCCTTACTACGTCACGGGGTAAAACTCTCGGTACGCAAACTGTTCAATATACTCGGGTCGCTGACAGGTGAACAGCTCACTGGCGGGGTTCTTATTGTGGGAGTGTTTTTCTAGCGCCGTGCGTGTCTTCTCCTGAAGCAACCCCTCATCGAATTTAACCCGTTGCACTGTGGTCTTACGCAGTATGGTCTGCACAAACTGTGACCACACCGATCCCTCCTCTGTCTCATCTTCTTGCTCCTCCAAATCCTTGTGCTGTTTCAGCTCCGGCTGCACAGCCTTTGCCTTGTCCTTAGTTTTGTTGATGGGCTCCGGTGAAGCTTCCATTGAGACAACATCTGGCTGAGCTATTTGTGTTGCTGTCGCGAGAGCTACTGCCTTCTCCTTGCCCGGCGTCAATTTCAGCATGAGGGTCTGCAGGCGGTCCACCGTCTCGGACATTCGCTTCCGGAAAGCCACGAGGCGGCGCGTATACTTGAATAGCTCGCGTTGCGCAGGGGGCTTTAGTTGGACGACCTTCAGGGTGCCCAGCTCTATAGGATCGAGCAGCGGGGTGAAGTGGGGCGTCGCCTCTTTGGTGCCCAAGAGGTAGATGCGATGGACAAATGCCTGCATGGCGGTGGTGTTCATCATGGCTATCTCGTATCCGATGCAGGCCTTGAGTACAGTTTGGTCGATATCGTCCATTTGCGGAGCTTGCGTAGTTGAGTTCTGGTGCATGGCCTCGTCTAAGTAGCCCAAGGCGGACAAGGCGGCAATGTCCAACTGAGAGTGCAGGGGAGGATCCTGTTGTCGATCAAGACTGTCAAGGACCTCGGCCAAATGGCTGCGCATCTGCTCGCCGTCGGTTTGGAAGCCAAGCAATTGCAGGTGCTGAATGAGTAGGATGTTGGCCGCGTACTGCTGTTCCAAATCGTACAGCTCCCACAAGGAGCGCATGCGTTCTTCGTACTCTTTCTGAGCACCCGCTCCGAGGAAGTTGCTGATGTTACCGTCGTACAGCTGCAGGCCCTGGATGAATGCCACATCCATCGTAAACTTGCCCATAAAGGCCAGCACATAGTTGAGGGCGTCCGTGGCGGTAGCAAAATTATCCCGCCGACTAGAAAAGAACTCGTCTAAGTCGCTGACGGTTAGCTGGTTACGCAGCACCTTGTGATTGTTATGCAACAGGCTTTCGTTGAGTTCACGCTCCTCTCGTATGCGGTCAAAGTTGCTCACCAGGACATCCCCCACCGGTTGTGAAAACTCGTCGAAAACTTCGATGTCTACGGCCATGGTGGTGGAGTGTTTTCTCTTTTCCTGCTCCCAGGGGATCGGCTGTTCCTCATAGTTGTGAAAGTCCTCCAACACCGAGTGGCACTGAGGCACCCAGTGCTCTTGTTCGGCCATTTGGTGCTCGCGACTTCGCCTGAAGATCGCGTTGGCGCTGAACCGCTGCAGGTCCAGGGAGCCAAATATATCCTCATTGTGGTCATGGCAGCAGTGCAGGGCCGACATATCCATGGGGTGTGCCTCCGTGTTGAAAATGTAGGCACCCGTCTGAACCACACACACGTTCTCCCCCGTGTCCAACAGCTCACCTTGGCCACCATCGCTGTGTAAAAAGTTGTCACTGTCAAACAGTAAATACAGGTATTTGCTTGTTTCAGCCAGAAAGAACGACTCCATCCGATTCTCCTTTTCATGCGTCAGCACATTGCGAATCTAGAAGAAACACGAAAATAATCCATCAATAATCAGGAATCAGAATAAGCCGAGTTTTCGATGCTTACCGTCGCATAACCACACTTGGTCTTGGCACTGAACTCGAGTGTCTCCAGCACCCGCTCGCCAAGCTCGAGCAGGTACTCGTTCTTGGTGGATCGGTACAGATACATTGTCGACTCGATAAGCTCCGGTCGAAGAGGGTACACCTCGCGATCAGGGGCCGCCTCGCCGGCGGCAATATTGTAGAACTCGGGTAAAAATCCGTACTTCTTCCAAACGCTGACGTAGCGCACGATCGTGCGCATGGCCGGCTCTGTGTCGCCGATGATGCTGAGGATGCCAGGCCAAAAGGCCTCGAGCGATTGGAAGACTGGCAGAGTGACGTGGCCTTTGTTCATGCCCACCCACACGTACCAGTCCTCTTTACGCATGTACTTGTCGATGGCACCGCGCGCCTCGTGGAAGAGCTCGAGAAGCTCCGGCCGGTTAAGCAGTATGGCGGCCTTTACTAGATACTCGAATAGGGAGTCGACGCCCGCGCCGATTCCAGAGTCGAGGGCAGTCCAGCGGCCGCTCTGCACGTCAATGTGATTGCCGAAAAGGCCGATGGGTGATCGGTGCTCCCAGAGGGCAAACACGGCCTGCAGCGCCACCTCCTCATAGATTTTGTTTCCGGTTAGACGGCTCAATGTGCCGAACTCGATGAGAAAGGTACCCACACCGGCCGTGCAAGTTACTGGAGTCTCGCCCTTGGGAACACCATAGCGGAGATTTACCGTGCCATACGGCATGCCTGTATTGGTGTCAAAAGCCGGCAGCAAGCGTCGGGCCACGTCCTCGGCCATACGTAGCAGCGGACCCTGGCAGGGCCAACCAGACTCCAGCTCGACGCCTGCGCGGCGCGACAGCAGATGGGCGGACAGCAGGCCACCCACGATACGGATGTTAGTCTCAAAAACAGACACGTTTATGTCCCGGTCGAAGTTCACCTTTTTTGTGAGCAGAGTGAAGACGCGCTGAAACTCGGTGAAGTTACCCATAGTAGCCAGTGTATCCAGGGCATCGATTAGCGTAAGCGAATAGCTGCCCCAGGTGTCGTGGCCGTCGCAGGTAAGTGGGCGTAGCTCGTCATAGTTGGAGGCGTGCGTCAGATAGCCGTCGTAAGCGTGCTGGAACATCCGCCGAACATCCTCTCTGGGGGAGTTGAGTGACATGAGATTTTATAGTCTAGTGCTTAACGGTATTTGCCCATACTAATTACTATTACTCACCGCAGCTCCAACATGCGCATCCGGCTTTAACCAGGTTTCGGTAAACACAATAACATGGGATGAAAATGTGAAACTATCCATAAAAAGAGCCTTGGAAGAGCATTTTGGAAGAGCCAAAAGTCTCGAAATGAGTTCGTAAACAATGAAGAAAAAGAAGACAATCAAAAAATCGTGCGCTACACAACCTCTTTCGTCGACGTTTGGCAAACTACTGACAAGCTGGTGTTCCTCAATGGCCTGGCCCATGGTAGAATTACTAATAGGTAACGTCGTNCCATACGTAGCAGCGGACCCTGGCAGGGCCAACCAGACTCCAGCTCGACGCCTGCGCGGCGCGACAGCAGATGGGCGGACAGCAGGCCACCCACGATACGGATGTTAGTCTCAAAAACAGACACGTTTATGTCCCGGTCGAAGTTCACCTTTTTTGTGAGCAGAGTGAAGACGCGCTGAAACTCGGTGAAGTTACCCATAGTAGCCAGTGTATCCAGGGCATCGATTAGCGTAAGCGAATAGCTGCCCCAGGTGTCGTGGCCGTCGCAGGTAAGTGGGCGTAGCTCGTCATAGTTGGAGGCGTGCGTCAGATAGCCGTCGTAAGCGTGCTGGAACATCCGCCGAACATCCTCTCTGGGGGAGTTGAGTGACATGAGATTTTATAGTCTAGTGCTTAACGGTATTTGCCCATACTAATTACTATTACTCACCGCAGCTCCAACATGCGCATCCGTGTGTAGTGCTTCTGTGAGATTCCCTGAGCAAAAAGACCGAGTAACACACACAGATGGCATATCACGTACAGGTTATTGGAGACTTTTTGCATATTTCACCAGGCTGATGCATTAATGGGGCAGTCAATGAATGGCTATTATCCAATTATGAGCATTCTCAATTTTATACAGCTATGTGGATGCGGCTGTGTCTACGTTGTGGCAAAACAAAAACAATGCAATTTTTTGTTTGGTCGTACTTTATGCCTATGTATACTATGACTTTAAAAATTTACAACATCTGGAGCAACATGTCGCTCTGAGATTAAAGAAAAAGAAGACTCCAATTTAAAAAAATAAACTCTTGTTCTATCCTTGCATTATTTATATGCCTATTCCTTTAGAGGGATTACGAACTTTAGCAAACAACTGATTTGGTTGCAACAAGCGATTAACAGCTGTTAATATTTTAAGACTATCGGCAGGCAGGCCCAGCTAGAGTGTAAAATTGTAAGAAAACATGCATTTAATGACAAAAGATAGTCAAAGACAAGCAATATAATTAATAAAATCTATCAGCTAATAATATAGAGACAAAATTCAACGTATCACTATACAATTCATTTTAAGTTTTAAATCGATATATCTGTGACTACTGCTCGGCACGCGCGCCTTTTCTTTGCGACAAGTTGGCAGCACTATTTTATATTTCTCTGCTGGCCATTCAAAAGTGTGTGTTCTTTACGAAATTGTGTTGTAAATTCAAAATAAAGCTATATAAAATTACACAAAAAGTGCAAAATCTGTATAAAGTAGTAAGTAAACCAATATAGTATTTAGATATTTATGAAACACTTGCTAGACTGTTCGAAACGGCTTGATTTAAAGAATTGTTTGTCCTGCAAACAACTGGACGACAACTTTCTGACTGTGTTTCGAGCGAACGTATAAAGAAATACGTATGTTTTTTCACTAAACATATTCTGCGAGTGATAAGAAAATACAGATCTATACCTAGGAATCTATCTCCTTGCGCTTCCAAACGATTTGTGTGTCGACAGTCAGTGCGTTGTGCAAAATGCAATTGTGTGGAAATTGTTGTCCGTTGGGCCAAAAGTAACAACATAGTGCCACTCCATGTGGGCTCGTGGGTAAAATGCTCCAAATGATATGAAAGTGTTCGCGATTGTGTTCACAATGATTTTGTTTATATATTGTCTCCTAGTTTGTACAAAATTGGTCAAAAACTATCAAATTATAAACAAATTGAGTAAAATATTAAATTTTTGTATCAGGGCTGTCGCCTCTCCCCACGTAGAGCAGCCAGCTCGCAGTCGATTCGGGAGTGCGGCAACACTGAAACTTATCGAAAATCTTACCCCACGGTCGATAAGATATTGCTTTTTTCTTCTGCCTCAGTGTCGTACAAAAAAGGCAAATATATCTAAGAAACTACTATAAATCAATTGCTAAATCAAATTGTTTGAGTGCTCGTGTATCGACCATAAATAGTGATATTCAATCTTGTACGAGAGAGAGCGCAGCAGTTCTTACTAATCAAAAACAAAATGGAAATATGCATAATATGAAAAATCGTCAGCAAAAACAACAGAAATAACAACAACAACAATTACAGCGGCAGAAGCAAGAGCAATAGCAACGTGTGTGTTGTTTTTGTTGGCCAGCAGCAGCACGTACGAGGGGTAGTGTGCATATGAATTAGAATCGTGGGACGACAGCGACGACGACATTGAAGTTCACTCTTCTCTTACTGCGCTGTACACACACAGTTTGGAATGCAGCAGCAGCAGCAGCAGGGGAACCAGCACGAGACCGAAAAATCAGCAGACCGAGAAATCAGGATCAATAATCACAATCAACCAGCAATCGAGACTATAAAATATAAATATCCCAGCTATACAACGGGCTTGGAATCGGCTCAGGAATCGGGAAGGAAGGGAAACACGCGCCACGCCAATACGGAAAACGGAGGAAAAATGTTAGCAAATGTCACATATGTACATATTCTACAGTTATTGTTGTTGGCGCGTTTGCCAATGTGTGTGCGTCCGTGTATGTTTCTAGTGCCCATTTTCTGTGTCGTCGTGTGTGCGATTGGACTCTAGGTACATGTGCATGTGTAGGGAAGACAGACGGACGGACAGAAAGCCAGCCAGCCATCCGTTTGGTTTGTTTTTGGTATGCGACGATGTTTAAATAGTTTTGTCTCCTCAATTAATTGATCTTGCTTTAATTGCTGACAGCCCCGAACCGATTGGTTTTCATTTCAATGCATTCCATGCCATTTCGGTCTTCCGTCCCTAAAAATGACTGCTGATCCAAGGTTACCCTTGCCTGCGTCCGTAACATTGCTATTATATAACCCCAGTTCGAACGACTCGAATCTCTTGTTTATCTTTGGCCATTCTAGTAGCTAGGAAAAGTACAGCAACAGCTGGGCAGCATTAGAGAATAAATTCTCGATTGGGTGGAACCTGTGCACGTTTACCCCCCAGAGGGGAAAGCACATTCCGATTCCGATAACCCCACAGCCACATACCACAGTCACCTGCTAAAGTTAACTGTTATCTTGGACGGAATGGAATGGAGAATATGCCAATTTGAGTTCAGTGATGTTTCAGCAATAGCGAACAGCTAACGCATGGTGAAATTAGTAACAAGGTGACGGATTCACCACAGTGCCTTCTCATTCGAGACATTGTGAAATTACTAACAAGGTGACGTCGTCAGCTGAGTGGAGGAGCACCAGCTTATTCACCACGCTTGCTCGACTCTCAGAGAGGCAAGCGCTAGGGACAGATAGCAAACGTTTATTAGTAATTTCACCATGATTTCACCATGAGCTGGTGTTCCTCGAATGAGAAGGCACTGTGGTGAATCCGTCAACTTATTACTAATTTCACCATGAGCTAACGGTCAATTGTTAAAATAATGTTAATAGGCTTTAGGGCCTCACTGAAGGCTCTCACTGTACGGCCAGGCACTACTCACACAAATACATACACAGGCGCGCACTCGAAGTTGAGGCCATGTTAACTTAAGTATAATAATTTTTGCAGAGCCCAGAGAAGACCCGCCGCAGGAACGGAAAGGAGACAGTGAGGAGTGATTGGGTCGAAGGAGCAGGAGTAAGGGCAAGGGTGGTGTGGGCGTCACCATGGTGAGTACCAACTTGGTGGTGCCGGTGGTGTTGTGGGGACCCACGGCGCCCACGCATTGCATCTCCAGTGTGTTCCTTTCGGACGACCAGTGCACCCTGGTCACCGGCTGCTACGATGGACAGATCTGTCTCTGGCAGGTGGAGCCCACCACACTGAAGATGTCGCCCCGCTGCCTGCTGGTGGGTCACTCGGCTCCGATTCTTTGCCTGGTGCGAGCCTCGCTGCTGCCCGAAAACAGCTTTTTGGTGAGCTCCTCTGAGAACGGCGAAATGTGCACCTGGGATCTCATCGACGGAAAGTGCATGGAGGCAGTCAAGCTGCCGCAGGTGCACACACAGATTCAGAGCTATCACACGGCCAACAGCGAGGACATTCGTCTGTTCTGCATCGGCTATTACGCAGAGATTATGGTAATGGACCCATTCAGCCTGGAGGTAATCTATCTGCTGAGCTCGAAGGTGAAGCCAGACTGGATATCTGCCATCCATGTGCTCCGTCCCATGCGGCGCAAGGACGACGTGGTCCTTGCCATCACCACCACGGGCACAGTCAAGGTGTGGACACTGACGGGTAACGAGAACAAGCACGCGGAGCCCATCTACGAGAACGAGTCGAAGGAGATCCGCTGCCTCAACGCCATAACCATGAACTGCTGTGCCCAGAACCAGCGCACCGTGCTCCTGGTGTGCACCAAGTACTGGCAGATCTACGACGCCGGCGACTTCACTGTCCTCTGTTCGGTGATTGCGCCGGCACGCGAGCGCTGGCAGGGCGGTGACTTCATCACATCTGACCGCGTTATGCTCTGGACCGATGAGGGCAAAGGTTACCTTTACAGGCTGCCCGCCAACTGCATCCCCGACAACAAGGAGTTCCACTCGAAGAGCGTCGTCCGGGACGCCCCGTACCTATACTACGTGCTCCAGCATGCCGGCGACAAGGTGCTCTCCTGTCCACCAGCCATGAAACTGTTGTTGGCTGGAAGCAATGGTAACAGCAACGGCGGACATCACAATCTACTGCGCGGCGACTCTGAGGGATACATCTCGGTGTGGAATGTGCCGGAGGTACCGCTAGACAACATAAGCATACTGCAGGCCAAGCAGATGCCGCCGCGCGTCCTCAAGCCACACGTGTGCACTTCCCTGGTGGAGGCCTGGTCCATTATGGATCCGCCGCCCGTGGGGATACTGGATCAGCTGTCGAGGATCACAGAATCTCCGGTGAAGCTCACTTCAAGCATATACTTGCCGCAGCAAAGTCGCCTTGTCATTGGGCGAGAGGATGGCAGCATTGTGATTGTGCCCGCCACTCAGACGGTGATGATGCAGTTGCTGGTTGGCATCAAGCAGAACTTCAGCGACTGGCCTTCGCACCAGATCCTATATGGGCACCGCGGCAGGGTGAACTGCCTGCTCTGCCCCTCCATGATCCACTCGCGTTACGAGAAGTCGCACCTGCTGTCTGGCGGCATCGACTTTGCCGTCTGCCTCTGGGACCTATACAGCGGCAGCATGCTGCACCGCTTCTGCGTGCATGCGGGGGAGATCACCCAACTGCTGGTACCGCCGGAGAGCTGTAGCCCGCGGATTCTCAAGTGCATCTGCTCGGTTGCCTCAGACCACTCGGTCACCCTAGTCTCCCTTCAGGAGCGCAAGTGCGTCACGTTGGCCAGTCGCCACCTGTTTCCCGTGGTGACTATTAAGTGGCGCCCACTGGACGACTTCCTCATCGTTGGCTGCTCGGACGGCTCCGTGTATGTGTGGCAGATGGAGACGGGACACTTAGACCGGGTGCTACACGGCATGTTGGCCGAGGAGGTGCTTTCCGCCTGCGACGAGCAGGCAGGCGAGGATGGGGTCGGCGGTGGTGGTGGCTCCTCCGGAGTGAGCGCATCAGCCAGCGAGATGGGCATGGCCAATCCGGCGGTTCACTTCTTTCGCGGCCTTAAGTCGCGGAATATGAACGCCATCAGGCACGCAACCCAGCGCGGGATCAACCAGCTACAGCAGCTGCAGGGCCACAACCAAGGGAATTTCGACTTCCTCATGAAGCACCGCAGCAATCCACTGGTGATCCAGGGTTTGCGAACCAACCCGAAGGACGCCGAGAGCCACATCCTATTCTTCGACATCGAGGGACTGATCTTCGAGCTGCACAGCGAGGAGTACGCCCAGATGACGCCGGCCACCTTGGAGGTTCTGGGGGTGCAACTGCAGAACCCAAAGGACAGCAAGTCCATGCATCTGGACGCGAGCAAGAAGATTGGCGACTTCTTCAACAAGGTGAAGAACAAGGCCGTGGACGTGGAGAAAATTCTGAAGGACAAGGACAAGCACGGGCTCGTCCAGAAGTTCAAAGAGAAGACTGAGATTGTAGAGAAGAAAGTGCAGGCGAAGGTGGAGAGCCTGCAGAAGGCAGTGGAGTCGCACGAAGAGCAGCAAGACCTGAAAAGTAAGATCGCCTCCAAAATGGAGGTCACCCACGTTATGGAGGTGGCCCAGCTGCTCCTCTCGCTGCTGCACTCCTGGGGTTTGGATCCGCACCTAGACAAGATGTGTGAGACTCGGCTGGGTCTGCTCCGCCCCATCGTTCCGATCTCGTACGGAGTGCTCTCCAAGGCGGGCTACATGTCCCTGCTTCTGCCCACTTGGCAGAACAACTACGACATTCCGGCAGGCCTCCAGCTGCCCTCCAGCTCCAAGAAGCGTCCGCTTCCAGAAGAGCTGCAGCGCCTGGAGCACCTTACCGCCATATTCACCTCGCGCTTGCACTGGGAGCTCAGCACCACTCTGACTACCAACCACATCCTGGCGCTGGTGGCCATGTCGAACACGCTGCTGTCGATGAGTGCCGCCTCCTTCCTGCCGGACAGCGAGAAGCACAAGAAGCTGAAGCGCCTGGCCCAGCGGACCGACTCCACGCTAAGCAACGAGGAGGAGCGTGAGGAGATCCTTGCCCACCATATTTCACAGATCAAACATGCCTGGAGCCTCTTGGCCACCCACCACTGCTTCTTGCTGCCCGACAAAATCGAGGCCCTCGAGCCGAAGAAATTCAAGCGGCCCCAGGTGGAGATGATGGTAAAGCGATGGCAGCATCACTGTATCGAAATTCGTGAGGCTGCCCAGCAGATATTGCTCGGTGAGCTCACCCGCATGGGCAAGAAGGGGCGTAAACAGCTGGTCGAGAGCTGGGCTCAGTACCTGCCCCTCTACACCCATACAGAGCCCATCGTGGGGGCCCAGCAGCAGACGGCGCTTCTGATCCAGGGCTCGGCAGGATCCCATGGCAGTAGTGGTGGGGTAGGAGGCAGCGGCAGCAACGGTGCCCAATTAATTGTTGGTTCAGCTACGGGTGTCGGTGGGGGAGGAGTGTCGGGCGCGGAACAGCATCAGGACGAAGACTATGAGGAGGAGGAAGAGGAGATAATACGCAAGCCGTCCAGCCTTTCGGAGCTGAAGCGCAAACAAACAACGGCCGTTATCCTGCTGGGTGTGATCGGGGCAGAGTTCGGGCAGGACATCTCACAAGAGTCACCCAACCACCGCGGAAGCATCAGCCTTGCCACTGGCTCAAACGGACAGAGCGGACAAGGCGGACAGAGCGGAGAGCGACGCATATCATCCGTGGTGGAGGGATTCGGCATAGCCAATAACCTGGCCAGGCTCACCTCGATGGCCTTGGCTCACCTACTCTATGCGCCGCCCTCGCCCAAACTGCCCCAGTACACGCCTCTGCGGCGAGCGGCCATTGACCTGCTTGGCAGGGGCTTTACGGTGTGGGAACCATACCTGGACGTGTCCAAGGTGCTGCTCGGCCTGCTGGAGATCTCGTGCGAGGGCAAAGCGGTGCCCAACCTGAATTACAAGCTTCCGCTGACGCCACAGGCGGACGCCTGCCGCACAGCCCGGCATGCCTTGCGCCTCATAGCCACCGCCCGACCGGCGGCCTTCATCACCACCATGGCCCGCGAGGTGGCCAGATACAATACGATGCAACAGAACGCGCAGTCCATCAACGCTCCCCTGACGCAGTCGGTACTGTACAAGGCCAAGGGCGAGATCCTGCAGTGCGTGGAGATGCTGATCGACAAGATGCAGTCGGAAATCGCCAGTCTGCTGGTTGAGGTCATGGATATCGCACTGCACTGCGTGGACAGCAACGAGCTGAAGGTCCGCGGCCTAGCCGAGCTGTGCCCTGCGATCTGCAAGTTTAACCAGATCTCCCATTGCTCTCAAACCCGACGCATCGCAGTTGGCGCCAACAGTGGCAACCTGGCCATCTACGAGCTGCGCCAGAACAAGTGCCAGATGATCCCAGCTCACACGCACCCCATCACCTCGCTGGCCTTTTCGCCCGACGGCAAGTATCTCGTCTCGTACTCGTGCGCTGAGAATCGGCTCTCCTTCTGGCAAACGAGCACCGGCATGTTCGGGCTGGGACAGTCGCAGACGCGTTGTACTAAGGGCTACTCCACGGCCCCCATTCCGGACGTTTCGCGTCTAAACCCCATGCGGCTGGCTAAGCTCGTCTGGATTAATAATCGTACAGTCACCCTCATGTTGGCCGACGGTTCCGAGACGCGGTTCAATGTCTAGGGACGCAATGTCTAAATCGATCGCTCGTTTTGGGACTGTGAGCAGGAGTGACGTATATATTTGAACTTGAGCAGGCAATCAACGCGACAACAATAGTTATTATGTATGGAATGGATGATGAAACGAATCCAATTTAACTAATGACTATGTTTCTGCAAATGCAGGAAGGAAAGGCGAGAACGGAAAAGGAAAACAAAATCAATGCGATAACTGAGAAATTAATTTTTTTATTTACATATGTGTGTGTGTGGTTATATCCAACGTATGCACATACATATATGTATGTACATGTTTATTTGATCTATATATGTATTCTGCATCTGTGTGTATTTTAATATATGTATTAGACGATTTTAATGTACCTTCTAATGCTTTCCCTACGCGAGTGTGTGGCAGCACTAAAATAGAAATGGCAGTTAGCCCAGACATTGCATCGTATACCCCCCAGTATGTATAATTTGCTAATTTTATTTACAGAGCTATATATTTTACCGATGCACCGTTCATGCACACCGATGCACAGCACTGCGTGTTCTGTTCCTGTAAGTGTATTACCTCCTGTTCCAGTTTCTGTTTGATGTAACTTACCTACATGCATATATGCATATACATATATATATAGAAAAATGATATCCAAATATTAAAAAGTCAGCAATAATTACTACCGTACCGATCTACATACTACATACAAACAAACAAAAAACAAAACAACATGTAACACAACAACATAAAGAAAAGAAAGGAGAGAATAATATAAATAGAGAAGAAAACCCATGTAAAACAAAGAACGAAAAGCTGTTATTATGATTACAAACTATTATTATTATTACTATTGTATGCTACTATTCTTATTATTATTAATATTCATATTTGTTATGCATAATGTATTGTTATATATATATATCTAAAGAACCTAAACAGATGTATTGCGAAACGTTACGAAAAGTTACAACCAAACAAACAAAAACATAACTTAATAACTAGAAGAATATAGGGTCAAGTGTTTTTTGTTTTGTTTAATTGATATCTTAATTTTAACTATTAATTTAACTTTGTTTTTCGATGTAACTCTGATTAGGTGTTTGTATGTACGTAAAAAGCGTTTGGTTCTGTTTTCATTCTGTGGAAATTGTACAGAGAAATCTGTTTAAAAATCGAACTCAAGCATACAATACACAACACAGGCATATTTTAATTTGAAGCTTACTCGGAGAAGGCTAAGGAACCAACGCATTTCCGGGCGCGAAATGTTTTCAAGAAACTATTTATCATATAAACACGTATGTACATACATATGTATGTGTGCACATTAGTTACATATATTTACATATGTATGTATGTACATACGTTATTATAAAAAGGAAATTGCAATGTAAGCTATCTTTGTATACATATGTATGCATCTAAAACCTGAAAGGCAAGTCACGCATCCATGATGCATGTGTATGCAATGGTTGCAATGTATTGAGCTTGGGCTTCAGTTACGAATTATGTATATACACATGTACATACATCCATGAATAGGCGTGCATGCACATGTATGTATGTACAAGCATATATTTTCATACTTACATACATACGAGGTCCGACAAAGTATTACGCAATAAAATTAAACGAAAAGAAGCAACTAAAAACACTTAAATACATATGTACCAGTCGAGCATACAAGAAATAAAGTCAAACATGAGCAAACCGTTAACGTCTGTATATTTTAATCATTCCCATTAGAATCCTATCTTGAATCCAACTTCCTCTCATTTAAAAAAAAAACAACTTTACGTAAATTCCGTACTGGCTATTTTTCCTTGCTCACTCTATATTTGATTTTCTGGTAGGGACAAAGAGAAAGCAAGACACAAATTTTCTTGTTTTTAGCTTCCCCTTCTGTCCAAGAATAATTTTGTTTGTGTACAACTATAGCTAGCGAATGTTTTGCGTTACAAAAAGAAACACATCCTCGACAGATGTAATGATTCCTTGTGTTGTGAATGAAACATTTAAAGAGGCATGAATTCAGTAGATTCATGCAGGGTTCTAATAGGAACTTTACCATCGCGATTTTTCGAGGAAATATATGTAGATTTATCCGATACATCAATCCATTTTCAATAAGATAATTAGATTGGATAATTTGTTCGACCTAATTGTATTACATGAGTGTCTCTTAATATTTTCAACGAAAATATATCTAAAACTTAAACCAGTTGATACGTTGTGAGTCGCGTCACGAGGCAACTCTCTCTCTCTCTCTCTCTCTCTCTGCTTCTTTCTCTCTCGCTCTCTCTCTGTCTCTGTTGCTCTCTCTCTCTCACTGGCTGCGTATCTCTACAAATTTTCAATGAGACCGAGAGAGAGAGAGATAGAGAGGGGGAATAGAGTAAACGGATAATAGGATGTAATATGTAATTTCTCAACATCAAGTTTGACTCTTGCGTGAAGCTTAGTGGAACCTGGAAGCGCTTCCTTGCTAATTCATTTTTGTATATTCATGTATAGTATTCCGCGATGCAATTTATTGTAAACAAAAAATGGATTAATAAATTAAGCAGAAGTAATCTAATCAATGCACAAAAAACTTCAGTAAGGCGTTAAGATGGACAGATACATTTGTATGAACATATGTTATGTACATACGTGGCTATGTACATATTTATGCACTTATAACCATATGTATGTATGTACCTATGTAAATCCCTCTCGGCTATTGATAATGATCATTGATCAAGTACGGGGTCGGAAATTCTTCCGTCTAGGTGTTACAAACACCTCCACACCAATCGAAACGAGGAGTGACGTGTGAGACGGCTTTTATACCCGGTTCTCAGTTAGTATATCTGTACCTTATTGTTTTTTATTTTTCAATTTAAAATTTTTTTGTATGTCATATAAGTCTACTTCCAAATCTACATCCCTTCTTACGCCAACATGCTCTTTCAGCTTGCCCCTTCGCCTAGAGCCGCATACTACACGAAGCAGAGTGAGAGAGAATGTGCAAAAAGTTTTCTTCTATCTTCAAAATTGTAAATATAGCAGATTTACGCGATTCGCGGTGGCGGAAGGGGGCGGGCGAGATTTTGAAATGCACTTGTAATTGTGTGAGCATTCAGCCATCTGGATGCAAAATTGGGTGGCCCTAGCTTTTATAGTCTCTGAGATCCAGGCGCTCAACAAGACGGACGGACAGACATAGCTGATCAAGAATATATGTATGTGGGGTCGGAAAGGTTTCCTTCTCTGCGTTACATATGTATGTACACCCACTTTTCCACACAAATACAATATACCCTATTTACTCTTCGAGTACCGCGTATAAAAATACTTTTTAAGAACCTGGAAGAATTTGAGAATCAAAACACAAAAATTTGAGAATCACAAGCTGGATAAGAACTGGATACCTATTTTGAAGAAAGCTTTATGAGATGTTGGCAAAACATTCGGACAATGTTATGAGGGTTAAATGAACGGTCAATGCCAAAACAGAACAGTATTCTGCTGCTGCTGCACTGCCGCGGCATGTAAAAAGTAAGACAGGGATGGGGAAGAATAAAAACGAGGTTTTCACTGCAAAACATGTCAATATTTCTGTCTACGTACAAACTGGACACTTCCACTGCCACCGCCGTCGTCACTGTCGAATGCGAAGGAAGGACGAAAAGAGTGTGGCGATGTACATATGTATGTAATTCGCGTGACCAATTGACCTCAGAAGAGTATGCAGAAAAACGTATTACAGTGCATGTAGTACACTACAATCCTTCTTCTTCTAGTTCTCTATGTATATGTACATATGTATGTATGTATGTACATGCATGCATATTTCGTCCATTTAGTTTCAATAGTCACAGAACCATCCGTGAGGATCCTTCGTTTCCAGAATAGTGAGAAGAAAGATGAAAACTTAGGTTGGTAATGTTGGTTAATGTTTCCTTCGAAACGTTTCCTTCTGTGCGTTACATACAACCGTTATTCCCCACAAATACAATATATCCTATTTACTCTTCGAGTACCGGGTATACAAAACCGCTTAGGTACAGATGTCCTACTGAGCACGTCTTACACGTCCCTTCTCGCTCTTTATTAATTGTGAACTTATGAGCTGTGTTTTCTCTGCTAATTACAGCACAGTGAAAATGCCTGTTGCAGAAGCTACTAAAGGCAAAGGCAGGAAGACAGCAGCCGCTGCTGCTGCCGCTGTGGCAAGGAACAAAACGAGCAAGGAGGAGGCCACCGCTAATCCAATGGATCTAGACGATGACAGCAAGAGCGACCATGAGCAGAAAAAGGAGGTCGGGCCTGATGATGTCGATGCGCATGCAAGCACAAAGGAAATGGCAGCCACAGACGAGCCGGAAGCAGACCCCGAACACGACGAGGACGATGAGCCGGACAGCAACGAAAACAGCGATCCGGAGGAGCAAGTGGAGCCGCCGGCCTTCAGTCTGGCCACACTGGGACTACAGCGCGTGGGAAGCGCCCCACCACCTAAGCCTAAGGTAACGAAGGCACCCATTCCAACGCTGAATGCCCGAGGAATGCCCGCCCGAATTCGCAAGAGAAACAAACTCTTCTACGACGAGAACATTATCAACGACGACAAACCGCTGCGCATGAGCCTTGCTCCTAAGAAGATGCCCGGTCGCCCACCCCTGGCCGCCGGGGGTCCTGGCAGCGGCTCGGGAAAGGCGCACAACACCCCCGCCAAGGTGCTCAAGAAACGTAAGGGTGTCGTCTCCCGCTACATGCGCTCCAGCGACAATGGATCCAGCTCCACCTCAGTCGGCAGCCAGCATCAGGTTACGGCAGCTGGCAACAAGAACAAGAAGACGGCAGCTAAGGGACAGGCTGGTAGGCATACACAGTCCACACAGTCCAAAACGAACCCATCCGGCCACAAGTCGGGCAAGATCAGCAGTGCAACAGCCTCTGGAGGAGCGAAGGTGTCGACCGCCGCAGCTGCTGCCGTCGCCGCTGCAGAGGAGGAGGCTAGCCAGGCCCAAGCCCTGTTGGTGGCCAACAAGCGGGTGGGCCAGGCGATCGGTCTCCGTCTGCGTAACCTACTCAAGCTGCCCAAGGCCCACAAGTGGGCCATCGCCGAGTGGTTCTACTCATACATAGACAGACCGCTCTTCGACAGCCGTGATGAGTTCTTGAACCACGTGAACGAGTTGGATCCGCGCCTGGGAACGCGCCAGCTCAACCGGCACGAATGGTCGACCATACGGCGACAGATGGGAAAGCCCAGGCGCTGCTCAGCCAACTTCTTCAGCGAGGAGCGCAAAGAGCTGGACAGGAAACGGAAGCTTATGCGCACTCTCCAGTCGCGCAAGCCGGGAGAGCTGAAGGATTCCGTTCTGCTGTCGGACATGCCTGAGAAGATCCCCATGCCACTGCCGCTGGGCACCAAGGTGACGTCTCGGCTGCGCACCCCCCAGGACGGCATCTTCGCTGGCACTGTCGCCGCCTACGACTCTCTGAACGCTATGTACCGGGTAACGTTTGAGCGTCCCGGCCTGGGGACCCACGCCATACCGGACTTTGAGATTGTGTCGGAGAACTTTCATGAGATGCTGCCACTTCATAGCTTCACCAAGGACTTCCGTCCCAACCTGATGAGCATATACCAGACCAACAACATGGGCTTCACCACGAACCTGGGCTATACGGCGAGCCTCACCAGAACATATCTGCAGAAGCGTCCATCCAGTAATGGGAAGAAGGCAGGTGGAGGACTGTTTGGTCCTCAGAAACATCTGGCCAGCAATAACGCTGCTGCAAGGAACGCTCTTAGCATGAAACTGAACAAGAGTGATCCCCTGCTGGGGCAGGACGCCATCGGTGATAGTCCGATGCGGCCGCAGCTGATCCGAGTTCACAACTACTCGAACAAGCTGCTTGAGCATCTTGTACACTTGGAGAAGTATATCTCGGTAAAGGCCGAGCGCATCCACCGCTTAAACAAGATGAACGCCACCGCGGAGCTAGCCATGGGAGAGATGCTCGGCCAAGACGAGACTGGAGAGCGCCACCGGCGCCACATCGCCGACAACTTTCAGCGCCAGTACGCCTTCAACATCGTCTCCATTGAGCGCATCAATACCGACCTCATGTATGAGCTCACCAAAGTGCAAGAACTCTCCTCCACCTTGACGAGAAATCCCAACGTCCAAGCTATGATCTCGCCCACGTACCTGCGGGAGCAGTGTCGGGCCAAGGCGAGCCAGACGGTGGATGAAATGAATAAGGGCTTGGTGAGGAATGAGCGCATGGTGACGTTGCTAAAGAACCTGGCCACGCTGCTGATGGTCACTCAGAACCTGGGCGGGGATTGCCCTGTAAGCGAGGTCAGGCAGGTGCTCGAGGGCTGCATGGAAGAGGTGCGCACCAACCTTGTGAGCGCCGATAACATGGAGGTGTTCCACAACAGCGTTCAAATGCGGCTGGAGTTCATTGCCTTGGACATCACTCGGAATCTCGAGAAGCGCAGGCACAGCCGGGCAGCTGCTGCTACTGCTGCTGCTGCTGCGGCTGCGGCTACCGAGGATGTCAAGTCGCCGAAGACACCCAAACAGGAGGAGACCGATGAGGACAATGATGCTGTTAATGAAGGTGCTGGCGACACATCAAAGTGCACAGTAAATGAGGGGGATGGAAAAACGAAGCCTGTCGTTGTAGATGATTCCAACAAGGCTCCAAATAATAGAGCTGCTGACACCACAGAAGCTAAAAAGGAGATAAAGCAGCGGCAGCAGGAAGACAAGCTTGATCTTATGGATGTGGATAGTGGTGGACAGCAGGCAGCGGGCAATGGCGAAGGGGAAGGCGACGTCGAAGACGATGAGAAAATTGACTCGGACGAGGCTGAAACTGACAATGCAGAGCAGCAGCAGCGAGAGGAGGACCCACAGTCACCAAATCCCGCCACCGACGACTCCCAGATAACAATCGAATCGATGAAGGAGTCTGAGGATGAGGAGGAGATTGATATGGTCGGCGTTGAGCGGCTGAACTTAGAGGAAGAAAACTCTGAATTCCAGGAGGAATTCATTTACGAGAAGTAGAGGTATAGTTTTAAAACAAATGCGATTTTTGTGCCGCGTCTCTTTTTTTAGTTTATTTTTTTCAATGGACCATTTCATGGTCTCGATCTAGGTTAATAGAATGGAAGAGGAGGGGAATATCCACAAGAAGATTTATCCAAGGAAAATGTCAAAAATGCGTTGCAATAAAAGCTGTAACAGATAAGTGGCAAAGGGTTTGTTTTATTCACTGATCATCCTCAGCCTATGTCTCGTCGTTGTCATCCTCTTCGCTGGACTGGTTCAGCCAGTCGACCAGCTTGACGAGGCTCTGGCGCAGCTGGAAATGTTCCTCGCCACCGAGCTGGCAATACCACGCATGGATGGCATCCTCCGACACAAAGTCCTTGTCGTACAGGTAGTGGACAATCTGCGAGATCTTCTCCCGCACGAATGGATTCTCCTCGTACACGTCCTGAAAGCAAATAGTTATAATTGAATCATAAATCAAAGTTAGTCAAAGATCCTCCGCGGAAAATCGCACGCACCTCCAGCGCTTTCAAGCAGTCCAGCATGGCTTCCTCGCTCTTGATGTAGTTGGAGACCACGGGTCCCAGCTGCTTGAAGGCGGCGCCGATGGCCGCCAGCACATTGTTATTGGCTGGCTCGACAATGTGCTGCATGCCAAACACGGCCTTTACCACATTGAAGTTAACCTCCTTGAGGGACATGTTATAGGCGTACCTCGAGGAGTTGATCTCCAATATGAGGAAGTCCGGATTCGACCGCTCCCTGAAGCCACGTGACAGCGAATCGATCACCTCGCTGAGGAAAACTGAAACAGAGCGCAATTAATTTCATGTGCAGCTCCAATTTGCATAAAAGTGCATTTCATCGCATCTCACTGTTGGTGTCATCGGGCAGGGGCGTGACAGCTCGCGAACCCTCATCGTCGTCGCTGATGTCGCTGAGGTCGCTGAAGTTGCTGATCTCGTCCAGTGGCAGCATCAGGTCACCCATTTTGGGTATGCAGAGCGTCTGCTGGGGCAGCAGCTCCTCACCCTCCGAGTCGTCCGGATCCCCCGTGGTAATGTCGCTGACGATGTACGCCTGCGGTCCAATCGCCTCTAGTTCCACTGTCTCGTAGTCCTGTTCCTGCTCCGTCTTGCGCTGTGTGTTCGGTGTACTGGTGACCAAGGTCTTGGCCAGCTTCGTTTTTCTTGGCAACACGCAATTGGCGCCCACGACGCAGCCAGCGCTGACGTCGCATTCGGCTTCGATGACGGCCCTGTCTCCAACTACGCAGTGCTCTAACCGGCAATTGTCCTGAATTGTCACGTTGGCCATTAAGAACACGTTGCTTAGCTGGCAATGCCTGCCAATGCGGCAGTTTTCCCCAATGACGGTGTCCCTGATTACAGTGCCGGCCTCCACGTGGCTGCCCGCATGGATCACCACATTCTCACGCAGCGCCACTTTGGACACGTGCGCCTCGAGACTTTTGTAGATGTTGTCCTTGTGGAAAACGTACTGCTGTTGAAGCTTTAAAACGCCCATGTCGGGAACGAGCGGGTATGCCCAGCGGTTGATGATGTCCCGGCTTACCAGTTGGTACGCGGGCCAGTTGTTTACTTTGTGCGCGTACTGGGTGGCTGGCAGCAGGGCTACGTAGATGCGGCTGTCCAGCAACTCCTCGTTGATGAGCAGGCCGCGCACAAAATCATCGCGTGTTTGGAAGTCAAAGTTGTCACTAAATAGCGACAGCATCGAGGGCGAGCCGATCGCGATTTGCGGATCCAGGAGATTGTGGTGCAGTGCTGTGCAGGAGTTGCCAAGGAATATGTCAAGGGGAATTTGGTAGCGCGGCTCCTTGTGGTTCATCCGAAGCCGCTGGTGGTAGTGGAGGCGAGAGTTTTGCTTATCGACAGCAATGAGCAGCTCGTTGCCGGTGCGGACGTTGATGGCGCATTCCTTCAACACCAGAGTGGCGGCTGTGCCCCTGTCGAACTTTGCCATCCGCTTGTGCTGCTCCAAAACTGGCCGTAGGTCCGCATTGGTGACGGTATCGGCGCCCATGAGGATGAAATTACGCCGAATCAGGGCCTTGGCGTCGAGATCTCGCATGGCGTCGCCGAAACACCGGCATCCCTCACCCCCAATCATGTGCACAGTCATTTTGAAGGACCAGGAGGCATACGTGGCAATCCCTTCCCTGCGAATAAAGCACATTAAGCACAATTGAAAATAAAACGCTTAAATAATTGGATTACTTGATGTGGTCGCGTATTTCCTGCAGGTAAAGGCTTGCATAGACAAAGACCTCCTCGACTCCGCTGCGATTCAGCGCTATCAATGCATAGTCCAGCATGCTCACGTTGACCAAAGGCAGCAAGGCCTGCAAGAATAGAAAGTGGGCAAGATATAAACGCTGGCGGGCTAGGTTGAGGTGGTTCCATAGCTACCGTTGAGCCTTCGTCGGATAGCGGCTTGAAGTTCCATACATTGTTGTCGGCTATGAGTACCGCCTGGACGATTTCCTTTTCGAATTGAGCCATGCTAACTAACCAAACGACGCTTTCCCGTCCCCGACCGTATCTTACTGACTACTAGAACAACAGCTGATGGGTCAGTGCTGTCAAACGTCTGCAGACTGGCAACGCTAAACTATTTCAGCTTCTACCTCGTCACCTCATCCACCACAGAAGTCGAAGTGGAATATTAAATAATAATAGCCCAAAAGTATTTCGTGAGCTGAGCCAGTGAAATATCGATAGGCGAACTATTCAACAATTTTCGTCATCGCTGATTAATAAGTGGCAGAACGGCCTGTGTTCATGTGTCTGTCAGAGACAGCGTCCAGCGTCGATAACCGCCCTCGCCCGACGGAACATTAGAGGACCGAACCGATAAACCAAACAAGTCAGGAACAAACGGCTACGGATTCAAGCAAGAGTAGGGTCAGGACAGGAACAGAGTCCTCAAGTTGCAGTTATAATAGACGAAACAGAACGGAACGCCCATTTCGCATCGAAATTCAACTCCCATACGCCATACGCTCGACGTCGTTCTCACTTTTCGCTGCTGTTGTGGCTAACAGGCGCGCCAACTAAAAATAGAAAAGCAAACAACTATCCATTTCGAAGAAATTGCCCCAGCACAGCACAGCAAAGCTTAGAAGCCAAGTATTTTTCTGCATTGGGAGATTAAGAAGCGAAGAACAACGTCATAACCACATAGACCTGGAGCGACATCACAAACACAAATAAAATAACGACGGGTGTCAACCAAAGTACCAATCAATATTCCTGGCAATGGAAAGTGTTGGCGACCACGTTCCAAATAGACTGACAGGCGTTAAGTCGAGCCTCCAAATAGTCAGGGAGCGTTTCAAGGAAGACGAAATAATACTCTATGTAAGCCAAATCCAAAGCCAGAGAAAAAGCAAACCAACCCAACCCCAACCTAACCAACAAAAAAAACATGTCAAAGCAAACACAAACAATATCTCCAGTGACGATGAATAATTATCGGTTAGATGGCAGAGACGGGGCTTACGTGGTCATGCTATCCACTCAGTGACGAAAGATAGTTTCCAGTTACTCTCAAAAAGATAACAGAGCCCTTCTGTTGTGTCAGAGTAAACGTTAATTATAAATTAATTACCTCTAGTATTAATAAATAAGTATGAGAATCTGATGTGCCTGGTGATTATCGGAGCCGAAGGCCAGCGACCCTGAACCGCGTGGAAAGGCTCTGTAAGTCAAATGAAAATGTTTGTTTATGTTTCAGCTATTTGAGGCTTATCAGATCAAGGGACCCGAGGACGCCAATCGGCTACTGGCGCTAGTTTCGTCGGAGTCCGGCGGGACGTTTGCCATCATCTCGTTCTCCTTCGTGCGCACGCCGCTTACATCAGTGAATGAGCTGATCATCAACAAAGTGTTTGCCATCGATGAGAGTTTTCAGCTGCGACAGGGTGAGATGCAGGCTTTACAAATTTATTGAGATTTACGTACTTTTTCATCTGTTTCTCTCAGATTGCAAGGGGTCCATCACAGCGTACCAGTTTGACCTATCCACGGCCGAGGATGGACCCATCAAGTACTACTTCTATCCCAGCGAGAGCGCCAGCTATGAAGAGTTTGTGGCCAAAGTCATTTCCTGCAAGAGTTCCATGACCCAGAGCGACCCCGAAACGGTGCTCAACTTCAGATGGCTGAACGACTACCGCCAAATCGGCGAAGTCAAGCAGGAGTTGAAGAAGCGCGAGAGCGAGTACATTGTCTACAAAGATATTATGTGAGTAAAAATCCAACACATCACCAATTGATCCATTGACACATCTCTCTGATTTTATTTTGCAGCATATATTGCTCCACTTGGAACGTGAACAACAAACCTTGCTGCGACAACGCGGACGCCCTGCGATCGTGGTTGGGATGCAGCGAGCGGGCTCCTGACATCTATGCCATTGGCCTGCAGGAACTGGACACACCCGCCAAGGCCATGCTTAACTCCACTCAGGTCCAGGCCAGTGTAGCCCAGTGGAAGTAAGTGCCATGTCCCATAACCAGCAATCCAGTGTTCAATATCCTTTGCTCATTTTGCGCATTTCCAGCGAAAGAATGGTGCAGAGCGTCCATCCAGATGTCGAGTACGAGATCTTGCAGTACCACCGTTTAGTGGGCATCATGCTGACTGTGATCGTGCGCAAGCAGTTGCGCCAGCACATCCTGCACTGCCGCTTCAAATCAGTAGCACGGGGCGTTCTAAACACGCTAGGTAACAAGGGCGGTGTGGCCATCAGTTTGCAGTTGAACGAGGGATACATTTGCTTTGTTAACTCTCATCTGGCCGCTCATATGGGCTATGTAGAGGAACGCAACCAGGATTACAATGCAATTGTGGATGGGCTGCGGTTCGACGATGGCCGCACCATCAGCGATCATGAGTAAGGGATAACTATAAGCACACACACTGATACTCACACTCAAGTTACTCCTTTGTTACTATTGCAGCCACATCTTCTGGCTGGGGGACTTGAACTATCGCATACAGGAGCCGCCTGGACAGCAGCGGCCCGGGCCGCTGACGGATGCCCAGACGTACGAGCTGCTGCTACAGTACGACCAGCTGCGCCAGGAGATGCGCAAAGGCAAGTGTTTTGAGGGATACACGGAGGGCGAGATTAAGTTTCGGCCTACGTACAAGTACGACCCGGGAACGGACAATTATGACAGCAGCGAAAAGCAGCGAGCGCCCGCATACTGTGACCGCGTGCTGTGGAAGGGCACGCGAATCGAACAGCTGGCGTACAACAGCATCATGGACATACGACAGAGTGATCACAAACCCGTGTACGCCGTGTTTCGGGTCAAGATCAAAACCCGCGACGAGATCAGATACAAGCGCGTGCAAGAGGAGGTACTGAAGGCGGTGGACAAGCGTGAGAACGACAACCAGCCACAGATTAGTGTGGAGAAGACTGTCATCGACTTCGGACGGGTGCGCTTCAACGAGCCGTGCATGCGGGACTTCAACGTGTACAACAGCTGCCCACTGCCGGTCGACTTCAGCTTTAAGGAGAAGGACATCCACGACATATGCGAGAAGTGGCTGCAGGTGGATCCGCGAAAGGATAGCCTGATGATCGACTCGGCGCGTAGCATACGCATTAAGATGCTCGCTGACGTGCACACTATTAGGGGTCTACTCAAAAAGATTCGCAGCAGCGACAACTTCGACATCCTCATCCTGCACGTGGAGAACGGCCGCGACATCTTCATCACAGTCACGGGTGACTATCAGCCCAGCTGCTTCGGCCTATCCATGGAAACGATGTGTCGCACTGATCGCCCTCTTAGCGAATACTCACAGGAGCAGATCAAGCACCTGGTGAGTCTCTGTCCTTGGTCCTTAGCTGCGAAGGGTGATGGCAGAGATGTTGACTTATCCCTCCTCTATGACCACGTAGATGAATGATAACTCCCAGGAATATTGCGTGACGATGCCACGCGAGTTCTTTTTGCTGATCGACTACTTGCACAAGCAGGGATCCAAGCTGGAAGGGGGATTCCACACTTTTGAGTCGCGGAAATCTCTAAACACACACTTTAATGTGGTGCGCGACTGGCTCGATACCTGGTGCGACGAAGAGTTTCGTAAGTTCTGTTGATCTGTGATGTTTCTATCTATACCTGACTGACGCTTGATTTAATGATACGATTATAGCTGGAACTCCACAAAGCGCTGCACAGGCGCTTCTGCTTCTGCTGGACCTGCCAGAGCAACCGCTTCTGGAGCCATTTGTCGAGGATCTGTTGGCAAGCAAAAGCAAGTCAAAGGCCATGGACTATATAGCCCTGCTCAGTCCGCCGAAACGGAATGTCTTTATGCACTTGTGCATGTTCTTGCGCGAGGGAATCGAGTGCCAGTACTACGATCTGGATCTAGTCGGTGCGTCTTGGATTATTAATATTTGATTATTTAGTCTTTCTGTGTGATATGATAGATCGATTTCTCTGTATCTTTCATGCGCAGCTGTCACTTTTGGTCGGATTCTTCTGCGGAGTAGCGAGTGCAAGGCATGGCCGGACTACAAAATCCGCTGCAGTCAATTTATGCGGCTTTTTATCAAAAGCGACGGTGCTGATGTCTTGGTGAATAGAAATGAAGAAGCTGGAGCGGGACCTAGAGCCGACCTACCAGCATAGTTATTCAGTAAAATGTCGATACTTATCTGTATGTGTAGGGTTAGTGTATTTATTTTACTTGTTGGTACTTTTTTTGAACGCCCATGAGAAGGTTCCATCTGGGCGGGCATTTATGTGCGTTTCTCTGTTTAACATGTTACTGTTTATAAAAACACGTTCGAGATGTCCGTTGCGCGGCACCTCCTTATAAATGCTCTTCATTCCAAATCTCCCCTGGGTTATCTCTTTGACTTTTTTTTAATCTTAAGTATTTCTTTAAGCCAGACGAAGTCCCTAACTACTACGCAATTAACAAACACGGAATCAAGTCGCGAGATACGGAGGCAGTCTAGACTCCATTAATGGGTAGAGTTTGGCCGGCAGGCAGGAGAATCGAATAAGAATGAATGAATTTGAATTTCAGTTTCACTCTTCACAATCCTTTTCTGTCCAAATGCAAAAACTGATCGGGAGACCGGTTGTCGCAGGAATATCATCTGGAAATATACCAAATTGGCGAACGTACATTCCTACATATGTACATGTGCATACATGCAAATTATGAACCATTGTGTGCTTAGAAATGGATTTATGACATACGAGTATTTGATTAGATCCGCAAATTTCTCAAAGTGTCCCTCACGCCCTGCTTCCAGTTTTATCTGAAAATAAAATAATAGTGTGCTGGTCTAGGGAAGGGGGCCAGCTAAAGGAGCGTGTTGGTGTAAGTAGTGTTGTAAATGTATATGACAGATGAAGAAAAAATGTTAAATTTGACAAAACACCGCTAAGGTGCATATGTAGTACTGAGTGCCGGGTATAAAAGTTGTGACGCGTTAGAAGCGTCTCACACGTCCCTTCTCGTTAGTTTTCTTTTATCTTCAAAATGATTGGTTTGGGAGGTTTTCGCCATTTTGCGGGTACGGAAGGGGGCGGGGCTCCTTTAGGAAATACACTGGTTTCAGTGTGAGCATACAGCAGTCTGGGTGCAAAATTTGGTGGCTCTACCTCTTATAGTCTTTGAGAACTAGCCGACAAGCAAGACGGACAGACAGACATGGCTCTATCGACTCGGCTATTGATGCTGATCAAGAATATACATACTGTATGGGGTCGGAAACGTTTCCTTCTATGCGTTACATACAACCGTTATTCCCCACAAATACAGTATACCCTATTTACTCTTCGAGTACCGGGTATAAAAACGAGCACTACTTGTATTACGATGGTTAATTCTTTTAAACAAATGTGGGGGTGTTGGAGCTTTGCTTTCCCAAAGAAACCAATTCAGGCAAAGTGTTTTAGTCATCCACGATGACTCGGTTAAGGGTGTCATGTACTGGCTACTTGGCCGCTGCAAATATGGCTATTCTTTATTTTAAACAATTATTGAGATGAGTTTATAAACGTGACCCCAGAAAATAAATTAATAAAAAAAACAAGTAACGATTTGATCATTTTAAAAATCATAAAATTCTCCTTACTCACAATTGCAAGAGCTCCCAAAAAGCTATTTCATCAAGAAAAATTGTACTTATACATATGTATGTATGTACATATGTGCACTTCAAAATGATTTCCGGAGCGAAGCTGCCGTGACCCAATGGCTATAAAATATTAGCATTTTTTTATTGAGAAAAACTATTACGAACATTGTGTGAGACGCTTCGTACGCGTGACAAATTTTATACCCGGTACTCCGATACCGGTACTCTGTATTTACGCTTTGAGTACCGTCTATAATAACACTAATCGACAAAATCCAACTTTTCTTTCCGCTTCGAACCAAACCGAATTTTTCTGATAGATATCGGGCATTCAAATTTTTGAATGAATTATGGTTTTTTTTCTTTTGCAGAATTTTTTTAAAGAATTTTGTAAGTCTGGTATTGATTTAACGCTTTTTTAAGAGGTAGTGCTTCTATTCTTTCACATAACTTAAGTATCTTAAATCTGGTTGTAATACACTTATCCACTCTATAAAGCGTTAAAACCACTCATAAAGTGTACCCAAACACTTTGTGGTTTTCGCTGAAGGGAGCAGCACTCCCTTTGGCACTACCTCTAAAAAAGCGTGAAAAAATACAAGATTTTTAAAATTCTTAAAAAAAACGTTCTGCCATAGAAAAAACCGGGTACTCAGTACTACATCGGTTTTTTGTTACATTTAACACCTTACAATTTTACATTTTTTCCTTATCTGTCATCTACATCTACAACACTTCTCACGCCAACACGCTCCTTTAGCTCGCCCCCCTTTCCTAGAGCCACACACTGTAGAGTCCCGGCAGAGGCAGAGGAACACGAGAGGCCGAGGCCGCACACTGCAGAAGTGAATGAGAGAGAATGTGAAAAAAACAAATATAAGCTGCGGGACGGGGTGGGTTTAGCCGCGGCAGAGGCAGAGGCAGAGGAACGGCAGGGGCAGAAAGAATATGCAAAAAAACAATTTGGTGATCTAGATAGATATGGTCATTCTTTACAGAATGGCGTTTATATTTTTCTCATCTTATTTCTTGTCTTATTTATATTATCTTCAAAATTGTAGCTTTGTGAGGTTTTCACCCTTTTGCGGGGGCGGGGCTAATTTTTTAAATACACTGGTGTGAGCATACAGCAGTCTGTAGTCAGAATTTGGTGGCTCTAACTCTTATAGTCTCTGAGAACTAGTCGACAAACAAGACGGACAGACAAACACTCGGCTATTGATGGTGAACAAGAATATATATACTTTATGTGGTCGGAAACGTTTCCTTCTGTGCGTTACAAACAACCGTTATTCGCACAAATACAATATACCCTATTTACTCTTCCAGTACCGGGTAAAAAATTGTCATCAAACTATTTCTAAGGCCCATATTTTTTCATAAAAAGTTGGTCTGGATCGAAGTTACAAAATCGTGTAGAGTAGTGTAATTGGCGACGAAATGTCATCATTATCGCTGGGCTTTAAGCTGTTGCACGACATGGAAAATAGTTTATGTGCTATTTATGTATGTATATAGATTTGGATCATAGTTTGCATTGGTAAATTTAACATCATATTTTTATATTCATAGCATAAGCATACAGACAAGACGAGAACAATAGATGCCAAAATAGGCATTCGATTGATTATACATTGTACATACGTTTATTAGAAAGGGAGAGACTGCCAGGACAGTTTCATATTCATATATAGTAGCCGTAAGTAGTACACACATACAAATACATACATAAGTACATATGTATATGTACATATATACTTTTATGAAATTAACTAATTATTTTATAAAAACCATAGAAACTCTTGAATTTTCAGTATTATTTTAGTTTGTGATTTTGTTGATGTGCTATGTTAAGTGACTCCTACTTCTCTGGTATTCCTGATTGAGATGTGTGGGTGGGAGAGCTTAGGTGAAGCTGCAGCACGAATTTGTCTTTTTCGCTGTCTTGTAGAAGGCCTTACTCTGTATGGACAACTTTTCCGATTTGTTGACCATGTCGTCCAGCTTCTCGCCCCTCTCCAGTACAGCCTCAATTGTGTTCTTTAATATTATCGTTGTCTCGTCCAAATCATTCTGCATCTTTGTGAGCGGATCGGCCTCTACGGGATTCTGATATTTGGCCAAAAAAGCTGGCAGTAGGTCAAACGATATAGTGGCCTCCGTACCGTTGGGCCACTGGTCGGCGGACACTTTCGCCGTGAAATCATCGAGTATCTTTGTAATGAGTGTGTGAGCAACTCGGTGCGGATACTCATGATCGGCAATGAGCACTCCCGCCAGGTTATCGGCGCGCACATAGACATGACACATGTAGGCATCCTGCTTGACAGATTGCCTAAGCGCTGACTGTGTACGTTCCACAATCGTTTTCGATGCGAAGCTGCCTCGACATGAACGAGAATAAATGTTAGTGCGTAAGCGGAGGTCATAAGGGGGGTGGAAATTGCGCCGTCGCTGTGGCGCTTGGGGCACAATTGTCCGAATAAAAATTACTCACGTCATGAATTCATTAACGGTGCCACGTTGGAAAAACGAGAAGGACTGCAAGTCGGATGCTGTCTTGAGTATACGCGCTTCGCTGGCAGCTTTGAAGAAGACGCTCAATGCAAACAGCTTGACCATTCTTAACTCTTTCAGCGCTCTCTCACTGTGCGTGAAGTTTGCGAAACTTGTAGCTGTTTGCTGCGATCTTCCCCTCTGGTCTAACTCCGTCTGTGCTTATAGAGTTCTTCTAATGGGTAAGCTTTTAAATGTTTTGGTGGGTGAGTTTTTCACATGGGGCAGGAGCGGAGCACGGAAGTGACAATCAAAATCAATCCAGTTTACGCAGGGATAGGAGTGTTTTAGCTAATTGGAGATGATAAACCTACAACCTATCGGCTACCATCTCAATTACATCGGATACAATTGAATGCCTATCGATATAACAGCAATCCTATGTTGTTTTCTGGTAACGGCTTTCCAAGATCTCATCTCTTTTGTTTCCTAGTAAACAGTTATGTTCTAGTTTTAAATGATAAAAAATGTCGAAGAATTCTATAAATATGAGTGACACTGCAAGCACGTGGGGAACATAACCTCTACGCCAGGTAAGTATTGGAGCAAAGCTGTAACCAAGTTACATATTACGACGTGGCGATTTCCCCCTTGAAAGGCGGGTGGCCAAATAATTCCCCTCTACCTAAGGGTAGAGCGGTAACTTAAAACCTCAAAAAAAAAAAAAAAAAAAAAAAATGTCGAAAAGCCAGAAGACAAGGTACTTTCGACTGGCTGAAATGCAGCCCACCATGACTAACTTTTCGGCCGCTGTTCTGATCATATCCAAATCGTCGCCAAACTTATTCCTGGACAAGCTCAGTGCCAGCGAGCGTGGTGTTTTTACGCTAACGGTACGCGACTCCATAAGCCACATTACCAACTGCAAGTGCTGGGGCCAAAAGTCATTCGTCGATAAGTATAACGCAATGCTGCACATTGGCGACATCGTGGACATTGTCGGGGCAAAGGTGATGTCGCTTTCCATACCTCGTGAGCCGCGTTATCAGCCCCAGGCCACTCTGTCGTGCACATTAACGGTCAACGAAGGGTACGGTCATATTGTGCGGCACGACAACGACGACTTACCCACAATAGAGACCCTGCAGCAGCTCATCCACAAGCCTCACAAGCCTCTTGGCTCTACCCTTAATCTGGTCGAAGCTTGCTTGGGCATTAGGCTTCACGAAAGGAATCTTAATGCATATGTGGACCTACTTGTGGTTGTGGCCGCGGTTCGTCCAGTGCGCGAGTTGAAGCGTAAACTTTCCCAAAGCTATGCGAAGGACAACGGACCACTTCAATGCCTCGAACTTATCGTGATGGATGCCAGTTGCCCAGATGGAATTTTGCTCTCCCTGTGGCATGCGGAGTGGATAAGGCGCGCCAAGCACTGGCAACCACGAAAGACCGTCCTGCACCTGATTGATGTGCGTATCTCCTATTCGGACTACTATCGCTGCCCAGTGCTCAACCACGCCAACTGTACGCTTCTCTACGAGGATCCGCAGGCCGCCGGCGGCGACTGTGATGCGCTACTCTCGTTTGCCACCTCTGTGCTGCCTATGAGCTTTGACCAGTCAGATCAAACAGACTTGGCGAATCTACCGAGAGGTAAGTAGCAACCGCAATTAGCGTTATTTGGGTCTAAATATTGCGTTCGACAGCTTGCCAAATCCAAACAAAGATGACAACAAAACAGATTTACTCTCGAGTCGAGGGTGAGCTGAGCAATGCAGAAACCGATCGGTTTACGGCTGTGCTCTATTGCATGGTCTCCAAGTTCGACATTGACGGATATTCCATGAACACCAGCAAGAAGTGGCAAGTAGCATATAGAATTTCCATGGTCAGCTGGGCCTGATCTGACATGATCTCTAGTCTACTACTAATATATCTACTTAATTGCTTTATTTTTAGCACAACATGTCAACATCTTTTCCTACGAAATCAAAGCGATTGTATCAGAGAAGAATGTCAATTGTCGTTCTCACTGGAATCCAATGGGCCAAGACATTCGAGCTTTATCAACATCAATATTCAGTTGTCCGATCAAACGGGGACGTTGGTCGAGGGTCGTCTGAGCGGGCACGTAGCCGAGCGTGTGTTGGGCATCAAAGCGAACGACTTTCAGCGGCTCTCAGAAGGTGCGAAAATTGAGCTCAAGTGGCGCTTTCTGCTGAAGTACTTTGAGGTGAAGCTGCTCATAAAGAAACAATCAGCCATGCGCAAGAATATTGGTGTGCTTGTGGTGGACATGCAAGCAATACCGCTTAACAAAATGATAGATACATTTTCCGTGTTCTAGTAGTGCCCAGGAGTGGAGATACTCTAGAGTGGTACCCTACATACATAAATAGCGAGTTTTATTACACATTTCCACATAAAATTGTTTAAATTACGTAAATAGACGAATTCTTGTACGTACGCATTTGCGATTACTTACGTTATAAAAAAGCGTGAATGGGGGTGGAATGAAGTGTGGGATTCGCTTCTATCTTGTTCACGTGGGTTAGTTGGTAATGACTACAGTAGGTGGTCGGATCTATAAGACAGTGTACAAAATGAGTGTATTATCGTAAGCTTACAAACCGAATTACCACTGTGGGTTCATTAATAGATTTAAATGAATCATCAATAAGATGCACCATCATAAGGAAAATAAGTTATTCGATAGTAGTTGGTCAGTTAATACAAAAGAAATCATTTCAATCTTCTGGCCGACAACTGTCTTATAGTTCGAAAACGTACATAAAACATATTATGCATAAACGATCACGCCGAGTGTGTCTAATTTAACTATAAACAACGATTTGGTACAACGCTTAATACTGACCTACATAAATGGTATGTACATATGTACAGGCAGACTGCCATACACATAACGAAACGAATTACGCTTGCAAACAAAATCAAAAATATACAAACATATAAGGACAAATGCAATTCAATAGCATTGGGAGACTGGATATTGGGAAAGTGATTCTGTGCCATAAAATACTCGATTTTTCTATAACTATTGCACCTAATTCCTCAATCAGCTACACCGCCTGCATCCATTCCATCAAATATAAATATAGAGAGCATTAACATATCATAAAAAGCGTAACACTTAATAAATGAAAAAAAAAACCAAGAAGGGACGTGTGAGACGCTTCTTACGCGTCACAACTTTTATACCCGGCACTCAGGACTACATCTGCACCTTAGCGGTTATTTGTCAAATTTTAAATTTTTTCTTCATCTGTCATCTACATCTACAACACTTCTCACACCAACACGCTCCTTTAGCTCGCCGCCCTTCCCTAGACCCACACACTGCAGACCGGAAGCCGGAAGAGGCATCGGCAGGGGGAGGGCAGCGGCAGGGCCGAGTGAAGCAGAAGCAGTGTGAATGAGAGAATGTAAAAAGAACAACAAAAGCTGCGGGACGGGGTGGGCTTAGCCACTGCAAATTAATTTCTTCATTGTGGCCATTATTATGATCCAATCGGATCCCAATCTGGTGATCTGATAGATATGGGCATTCCCTACGAAATAGCTTTTTAGTTTTCTTTTATCTTCAAATTTGTAGGTTTTCGCCCTTTTGCGGAGGCGGAAGGGGGCGGGGATAATTTTTGAAATACACTGGTTTCAGTGTGACCATATAGCAGTCTGGGTGCATAATTTGGTGGCTTTAGCTCTTATAGTCTCTGAAAACTAGCCGACAAACAAGACGGACGGACAGACGGACGGACGGACAGACAGACATGGCTCTATCGACTCGTCTATTGATGCTGATCTAGAATATATATACTTGGTGGTATAAAAAAAGCAATACGAGTGTGCTTCTACTTGGAGCTGCCTGAGTTTGCAGGATGCCCCTTCTGCTGATTCTACTGATGATGATGGGATCCCTGATGATAGTGGGACTGCGCTTGACTGCCACCTGAAGCCGACGATGTGGACAACGACAGCGATGTCGATGACAATGATGCTTGCTGGTGATGGTTTTGAGAGGCGATGCTCTGGCCGCTTCCACTGCCATGGCTCAGGGGTAGGGAGGCTGCTGCTGTGGCGGCTGCTAGTGCTGCTGCAGCAGAAACAGCTGCAGCCCCCGCAGTAGCTGTGTTCAGCTTGGTGCCATTGCTATTGTTCACTCGAAGCTGCCGGATTTCGGGGAAGAACTCAATCATGAGTATCTCCAGTAGGTCCTGGAAGAGTGGCACGATAATGGTGACCGATAATTACGGCAATGCATAAAAAAACTTACGTAGAAGAGCTGCTTGTTATAAGCGGGGTTCTGGAGCGCCTCAAAGACCTTGAGGACGCCTCGCTTGGCCGCCTGAGCCCCCACCAGATTACAGAGCACCTCGGGTATGTGGTCGGTGAGCAGAGCCTTGGCCGCCGTGCTGGACATCTCCCGCATGTCGTCGGAGCGCGCAGGATACGCGGAGGCGAGGACACCGCCTGGCCAGAACGATTTCAGTATGGCTGAGAAGTAGTTGTGCAGCATAGACTCCTCAAAGAGATAAGTGATCGATTCGCGGATCTGTCGATTAATCGTCCGGCCGTACGTGATCTGCACAAAGGAGATAATGCTCTTGCGCAGCCATTTGAAGACGCCGCCCATGTCGAATATCTCGCCCATGAGAGCGTACATGGGCTCTGCTATAGAGTCCTTGCTGTCTATGTCGGCCATCAATCGACTGGCATCGATACCGGACTCTCCGTCTAGGTATGTGGAGATGTCCTCGTCGTCGCGCTGCAAGCCCCAGAACGGATCTGTCGCCTTGCTGGATTCGTGAGCCTTTCCAGCGTCGCTCTTAAACAGCGTGGAGAGCGAGAACTTTGACTTTTTGGGCGAGGGCAGCGTCTGCTTCAGGTGGTCTGAGCTGGGGCTAAGGAACGTATAAATAGCCTCGCTGCAATTTAGATGATCGTCTTCGAGTATGAACTATTTCCACAAATATACAAACATATTAAGAAATTTTTTGTAGATTCTAGAGGCTAGTAGATCAAAGGACCTATCAATCTTACATTAATAAACTTTTGGATTTGTCCCTTGGCCTTCTCCTGGCCATGCCGATCCGTCTTCAGGAAGAAGAACTTGAAGTTGGTGGGTAAGTCGAGTGTCTTCAGATTCGAACTCACGTGTCGCAGTTTTCGTTGCAGCTCCTGTTGGGGAAGATATGTGGAAAGAGTTAGAGACTGTGAAAGATAATCCCTCCGTGGTCTGAATGTCCCGCCTACATGGACTTGATTAAGGGATCGCATGACCACCCAGCCGCTGGATATGCCCGAGGGCCGTTTGTGGGGCTTGGCGCTGCTGCTGTCCCCATTCTTTGCCATTGTCTGCGGGGGAGCGTTAATGTCCTCGTCCACATGGACAAGTATCATGAACTGCAGCGACTCTTTTTCATCAGAAACCTGTGCCGAGAAGGAAAACTATAATGATTTAAGTCGAACCATCAGATTCCACAGTCTTCTCACCTCCACACTTTGTATGGTGGCCTTCCACTTGCCTAGATGCTCGGTCCAAGCGTCGGTTCGCCGGAGATGTGCCTCCGTTTGACGCTTCTCGCTCTTCAGCCACTCCATCTCCTTCTCGAGTATGGATAGAACCTTAGACTCCGGCTTGACTGAGTACTTAAGGGCGTCCAGGGCCTGATTTTTCTTGTCAATGCGCTCCTGTATCTGCTCCAGCTTCCGCCGTGCATACGACGTGTGGGCGGCGACATCGATGGCCCTGCCATTGAGACCATCAGTGACTCTGGGGTGCTCGTCGTGTTGATCGGATACACTCCCAATTGCGGGGCACTCCATCAAGGTGGGATCGATGAGTTCGTTCGAGTCCAGCGCCAGTTTTAGCTGGCGGTACTGACTGCTGAGCACAAATGGTGGATAGTACTTTTCCTCGAGAGTGAGTAGGATGTTGCGCTGGATGTCGTAGAAGATGTCCGGCTCGGCATCCCCCAAAAGAAAGGTCTCGATCAGCTTGCGATCGTGCTTGTCGATCTGGATCTCAGACTTGGGTACTCGGATGTACGTGTAGAATACCTCCGTGCCCAGTTGGTGGATAGCACTTTTGTGAGCATGCTTGATCTCCTCCACGGAGAGGTAGAATCCGACCAAGGCGCTAGCCTTCAGCGGCTCCAGGAACAGGGTGAAGAACCTGCGGCCCACGGTCGTGTTCAGTATTTCCTCTAGCGTCAGATCCTTCAAAAATACAGACACATGTATGTACACATGTTTTTATATTGGGGCATTGTCACTTACTATGTCGCTAGAGTAGTTGCCGTTACAGCCAAATTTCGCCAGATTCTTTTCGCACTCGGCCTTGGCCAAGATCAACTGGCGGACGTAGCGCTTGAGCCGCACGGCCGCCGTCAGCTCAGATTTGGATAGGGAGTGGTCCTCATGGTCCGGATCGAGACCTTTGGCACGTTGTAAGTTCTGCATGGTTGTGGCATGCATCAGGTCGTTCACGATGCTCTTGCGGATGAGCGAAAGCTCCTCCAGGCTTCCCGAGTTGTTGATAATCTTGAGGAAGTCCTCAAAGCTGGCCGCATACTCATAGCTCCGCTTGTTCATCGCCGCCGCAGCCAGTCGCGCTTCGATGTTCTGCACCACCTTCTGGTTTATGTAGTCGGGTGCGGTGAGCATGTTGATCATGGGAAAGAAGACTGTGAAGGTAAGAGATTGCAAATGCGAAATAGCGAATGTATTTAAAAATGTTCATTCTGGTAAACTGATGAGCAGCTTTAATTGTGAGCTTACTCTTATAGGATAAGATTTCGCTGAGCAACATCTTGAGCGGTGGAAGGGAGTAGCCGCGTGGCAACAGCAAGATCACCATAATTTCGCACAGCTTGCGCAGAAACTCCATCTCCATGGCCTCGTCGGACAGGTAGGAGTTTTTGCTGAACACTGGCGCCGTATTCGTCTCGGCCCTGTTCGGAAAGAGTGGGAGTTGAGTGAAACAATCCATCGAAATACTCGATGGTCACTCACGCTCGAGCCTCGGCAATGCGAATCTTTTCCAGGTGGACGGTGACGCGATTCACCATGTCCACGGCTATGATCTTGGCGGGATCCATTTTGCTGGCGCGCTCATGGATCTTCTGTATGGCGTTCCACAGATCCTCACGCACCACATCGTTGATTAGCTTCGGCTTCGTGACCACGTAGCTAAAACAGTTCATAAAAGGATGGGCGAGGTCACTCTCGGGGTTAATAGGGGATACTGTGGGTTCCTTACCCCAGCCAGGGCAGCATGAAGTCGCGAAGAACGTATTCGATTATCTGCTGCAGCTGCAGATCGACTGTTTTGCCAAAGATCAAAGGTAAATTCGATGGATTCTTGATGGGCTTTGGCAGATCGAAGATGGTGCTTCTGCAAGGATTAAGAAGCGGGAATGGATAATGGATCGGATAGCATCGATGAATGTCCGCACTCACTTTGTGGCATTGTAAAGAAGTTTGGAGGGCAATCGACTGGGCCTAGCCGATTCGTTGGTGGTGAAAATATAATGTATGTAGACGGTGCCGGCAACAGCTATGCAAGAGATAAGAGAATCCGATCGTTATTAGATATTTGGTCTTTTAATTAACTCTTCGGTGTTCGTTGTTCGTTTTTGGTGGGGTGGGGTCAGATCCATTCAAAATTGATCCGATGACCGGTGTCCAATGAGTCACCCATTTAATCTACCTTGACTGGGTAGGATGGGACGGAATACCACATGGTTCCACTAATGGTGGCCATTGATTGTCACTGTGCCTTACCCGAAAACACCAAAACGAGGGAGTAGACGACGAAGGCGAAGAACAAGAAGAACGTGGGATAATACCAGATGACAGCCAAGAGCGTCAGCGTGATGCCGGACAAGATAATCCTCCAGTTTAATTGCAATGCACGTAGAAAGCTGCAGCGAAAGGAATCAGAATCAAATCAGCACACGAGTCTCTTAATAAACATGCCAGTCGACCGCTCACATATCAACATGCTACACCACCCATTTACATAGGTGTACCTAGGAACAGGAACAAAGCAAAATTCCAGGTAATATTGGATACGTACACGCAAAGGATGCACGAGCCCACTCATCCTCACCCAAACTCACCGGGTTGCCAAGAGCGTAAGCCGCTGTGTGGGCGTTGCTGGCGGCTCAGGCTCGATGGGAAACAGTGGCAGGCGGGGACTCGCCATTGTTGTTGATGTGGTGTGGGCTGGCCTGGCGCTTGATATTCAGTGCGTTGTCGGACCACAACTGGCCGTTCCCGCTTTGGCCGTTGCTGTCACTGCCGCTGCCACTGGCACAGGCACTGGCACTCTCGTTATGCGTTGCGCTCTACTGTTTTGTAATTGTTGCTCGCCCTTTTTCGGATCTGAATATTTGATGAGTTCTTAACATT